CGGCATAACTGCACGCTAATAATAAACAGAAGGTTACACTTCATTTTAAGGTCTGCTTGTTACAGTGTAATTATACATTTAAAGGAATATTTCACTTAAAAATAAAAATTCTGTAATCATTTACTCACCCTCAAGTTGTTTCAATCCTGTATGAATTTCTTTCTACTGCTGTGTCAGTAATGTCGGTAACCAAACAGTTGATGGACACCATAGTATTAATTTTTTAGTTAATAGGGTCCATCAAATATTTGGTTACCCATATTCTTCAAAATATTTTCTTTTGTGTTCAACAGTAGAAAGGAACTGGAGTTTGGAACAACTTGAGAGTGAGTAAATTAATTTTCATTAGTGGGTGAACTACATTTACAGTTATTCAATTAGCGGACGCTTTTATCCAAAGCGACTTACAATTGCTATATATGTCAGAGGTCGCACACCTCTGGAGCAACTAGGGGTTAAGTATCTTGCTCAGGGACTCATTGGTGTCTCAAAGTGGATTCGAACCCGAGTTTCTCACACCAAAGGCATGTGTCCTATCCACTGCGCCATCAACACCCTAAATAACTAACCCTATTTGAGTAACATTAATGAACTACAAGTGAAGAGTTCAGATGCAAAAGCCTCTAAGTGCCATTTGAAATTTTCTTCTAAAATGATCATTTTTATCAAGCTTGTATATTTAAGTTCAGTAATTTCACTTAAATGACAATTAATAGGTAATCTTCATTGCCATTTAAGTGAAATTACTGAACTTAAATATACAAGCTTGATAAAAATTATCATTTTAGAAGAAAATTTCAAATGGCATTTAGAGGCTTTTGCATCTGAACTCTTCAAGTACTTATTATTGGGTTAGGGTTGGGTTTAGGGTTAGTGCCTGTAATTATGCTCAATTTGGTTATTATTACTGTAATAATGTGAAATAAAGTGTTTCAACTCCAGAGATGGGGAATGGGTGAACACCCTCATCTACACGAGACAGACGGGTCAATCTCAGCACACCTCCGGCCTTCTCACCCTGAACAATTCCAGTCCGTTACAGAACACAGCATCAGTCACTTCTGATTGAGCTCTCCCATGGCCAATCTGACAGCTGAGCAGAGTTTAATGTTACTAAGGAGGATCACAACACATCATCATCTATATCTGGCCTGGGCCAAACCTTGCCAAACATTTGTGTATATGCTATGCATTTTTATACACTACTAGCTTAGCAAAATGGTTTGACCAAAATATTGAAATTAATTGAGTGAATTCTCTCATGCAGAGTGTTGTTTGTGTGGCGTCCAAGGTTTTCCATACAGGCTGTTTTCACTTTCAAAGTCATTCACTTTTGAGATTACATGATAGTTTGGATGCTATGTAGCTAGGTAGCTCACTGGGTTTTGGAATATAGAGGTATTAAAAGTCAATGATTTCCCAGTTTTATAAATAATACTTCATGAATAAAAGCCCGTTCACACCAAGAACGATAACTATAACAACGTTGTAGTCCACAACACAACTTTAACGATAATGGCACAGTGAAACCATATCATTGGAATCAATTTCAGAACCATTTTTTCCCCAGCTGATGAACGATAAAACAACGACAGCCAATCAGAATCGAGCCTGCTTGATAGAGCTTGAGCTTTTAAATGGTAGGGCGACAAAACTGCAGCACATCATGGAACGATAATGTGTCCTGGTGTGGATGCTAATACAGTTAATGTTATAGTTATGGTTCTTGGTGTGAATGCCCCTTAAGAAATTTGATCTGGTGAAGTGTTAAAATAGTACAAAAGTGTAAACATTTCAGTCCATTTTTCTCCATTGTATTTCTCTATGGAAAAATGGAGATAATCGTACAATGGACAGGTGTTCTCTACATCTGACAGAAGAATACAACAGATGCGTAACCTGCTGTGGAAGAGAGAGAGGAAGATAGAAAGAGACACAACAAAGGCAGAGGGGGGGGAAATTGCCCGTTTTGGAAAAATCAATAATGTTCACTGATATGAATCATTTCCCAGCAGGACTATCTCTGCTTTGCAATCCGGTTTTCTTCCCCTGAGGTCAAGTGTGTGTGTGTGTGTGTGTGTGTGAGTGAGTGTGTGTATAAGCCTTAGAGACCTCTTTCTAGGCTGGAGTTGTGCTGGAATGTATTAGAGCAGCCCATGTCAAAGCAGGCTAAAGCACGCATGGCACTGGATAAATTCCACTGGGCTATTCCCTCCACACACCGGACCTCTGCTGAACACCCTCTAGAGAGGCCACGGATACCTGTACGCCCCCGCCAGGTGCAACAGGTCAGAGTTCGTCTGGCTGTTTTTCTTTTATCTGAATTGATGTGCATATATGAACTGCTGCATAGTGATGTCAGAACAGATTGTGCTCTACTCAAACTGACATTCCGCTACTCACATTCGCAGAACATTATTTTCACAATTATTCCTAATGGTGACCTAATCAAATTGTGAATGTGATGAAATGTGATTTTTAATACTAGTTACACATAGTTCCAGTTCTCAAATTTGATTCTAAAGACTTTCATCCATAATTTTGTTTTTGCATTATTGCGTGACAAAATATTCTATATTTGTTCAAAATTGTCTTTAAAACTGAAATGTTTAATTAACTGAAATTTTTTCTTTGCTACTTGTGATTAGCCACTAAATACTGGGGAAGAAAAGTTAAATCTGAAACAGAATTCAGAAACAAAATTCTGTTAGTATATAGATTAATATATAGATTAATATATTATAAGGAGGATTTGTGTCATATAATTGTAAAATAATTGATTGAAAATGTTTTATATTTTTATATAGGCCTATATAGTATTATCTCTTTCTTTTTTTAGCATTTGCATACAAAGAAAGCAGTGCAATCACATCAATGTGACAATGACACTTGCCCAATGTAAATTGCTGATTTTAATGAAAACAAACTTGTCTTAAACAGTGATGGGTGTAATGCATTACTAAGTGATTATTTGCTGTCATTTCATTACTTTTCCCTTGAAAAAAGTAAGGGATTGCTTTTACATATTCTGTAATTTAATTAGTTATTCCTGAAATACTTGCATTAAATTCTGTATCAGAACAATTTAATATAACGAAATAGTGGCTCTAACATTAAAATTGAATGTCTAATGTTAAAATGTAGGTTTTAATGTAACCGTCTTCAATACTTTGAAAATCGGAAAATCATTTATGTAATTTTAAATTACTTATTTAGAATTTCATGTCTTTTTATTGTTCAACTGGTCATTGTTGATATGGGATTGAGAAAGTAATTCATAATTAATACAACGCTTTTTAGAGAGATTAATTAGTACATCTAATTAAACTGCAGTTAAAGATGTAATTAGTAGCTAGCAATTAATTACCTTTTAGAGTAGCTTCCCCATGCAACACTAAAGGGTATAATGCAATAAAACAACATAAACACAGATTATGGGAATATTTAATCTCTGAAGGCCACCTAATGGCATGCAAAAGAAAGAAAGAAAGAAAGAAAGAAAGAAAGAAAGAAAGAAAGAAAGAAAGAAAGAAAGAAAGAAAGAAAGAAAGAAAGAAAGAAAGAAAGAAAGAAAGAAAGAAAGAAAGAAAGAAAGAAAGAAAGAAAGAAAGAAAGAAAGAAAATTACATCTGAGCGACATCATATTCACATGAATATGAAACATTAATGTCTGTAATGCAAGCCTGTTCAAGTCTTTCTCACTTTCTCAGTACAATTACAGAGATTAGCGATAAGATGAAGGCTAAATAATTGCACAATAATAGCCAATAATGAGACCGAATTAGAGGAGCTCTGATAGTCAAATCAGTCAAAAGAGGGGACGCAGCATCAGACAGCTGGCTAATTTTCACTGACCCTTCCCTGGCTTTAACACAAACTCTTCTATTTCTGTTTTCTTCGCTTCTTTCTTCTCTCGCTCTTAGTCCCCTCCCCGGGGAAAGTGCAACTGCTTTGCATAGCGGCTGCGTCGTGTTGTGGACCGGGAGGAGGTGGGTCGAGTCAGGCTGGCACTGACTGAGGTAAGCTTTCTCGTTTTCCTTCCTGGCCAAACACACCACCACAAGCTTCCCATACCCCCCCCATCCCCCTCCCCTCCCACCCCCCTCCTCCTTCTCCTTCTCGCTCCCCTCTCCACGTCACCCCTACACACTGGCTGTCCCCATCTCTCCAGGAGGCAGTTGTCAATCATCAGCGTCTCTCAGAATCCCGCTGGAGCTCATTGTGCCCGCGGTCGCCGGCGGAGGCAAGCGCTCGGAGGCAGCGGCGGGCCGCAGATGGAGAGTGCGCTGTCAATCATTGTCACTAATTATTAATTTCTGTCACTCAGCCCCGTGGCAACCACGCTCTCTGGCTCCCCCTCCCTCCGTCTCTCTCTCTTCCTCCCTCTCTCGCTGTGGCTTCTCTCTCCCAGGGTGAGTTGATTTGGTATGCCATCTCCGCGACGGAGGGTTCAACCTTTCATTATGTGTCACACACACACAGTACTCTCACCTAGGTCACTCCCCTTGACTCCCTGCTTGGTTTTAATTGTATTTTACCTTCTACCCCCTACTAAACCCTTTGTACCCTTTGACCTTCGCCCTATAGACCCCCCATCCCCCAAAACATATCTTCTCAGTTCCACTGTCTTATACCTCCATCACTTCAACAGAGGTGAGGTGGACAGTGTGTTTGTGCCATTAAATAACTCCTTAGTTGATGCTTAATCTTTCCTCAAATTAGTAAGAGCGACAGACAATCTGCATTAATAGACACAGTTTGAGGAAATAGTGCCCTACAACTGATTATCAAAAGTATTTTCAGTAAGACTGTAATAATAATGTGAGTTAGCCAGTTAGCAAGAGACCAACACAATATAAAACTCAAAACTAAGTATTTTGAACCAGGGGCGTAGCCAGAATTTTACTTTTGGGGGGTCCCGTCTTTAAATGAGGGGGCAACATTATTTATATATACTGTATATCAAGTTGATTTTTTCGTGCTTTTTAAAAAAAGTCTAATATTGTACTTTGAGTTTGAGCGCCTGCCATTGTCACGGCATATTAACTCTCACGCAAAGATGAAGATGACAGCGTACGTTACGCGCAACACGTTATATAAACAAATATATACAAATATATTGCTTTTTTTTTTTTTAAGCAATCAGAAATCTGAGGGGACCGGACATGTAAATGAGGGGGCCTAGGCCCACCCAGGCCCCCTCGTGGCTACGCCACTGTTTTGAACACCATCTTTCAAGAGCAAGCGGTTTGCGAATCCTGCATTTAATCCAAGATTTGAGAAGCAGTCTCGTCAGTAAAAAATAAGGTTTAGGATTGTACTGCTGTCGCATCTTGGTAAAGATTCATTTTATCCACTGATTCTTCACATGCTTCTCCTTGGGCAGTGGGAAAAACTGGCTTTACCATCACATTATAGAGCACAGCGTCTTCTGGACATGATGCTATCCAGTATCCACAGGAAGTTTTCCCTGTCTGCTTGTGCAATAAGTGGGCGGGCAATATGCTAATGTTTCGTCTTGACGTCACAACGAGACGGCGTATGACTCTTTCGAAAACGATTCATGTCATTGACTCAGAGTCAACTTTTAATTTTGAAAGGAAATAACTTTATATACGGTGCACTTTCAGATTTAAAACTTTGCAGGATGTTTTCTTTCCCTATGTTACACACTACATGAAAGGTCATTTTCAAAAATCCATAATAGGGGCACTTAACACTTAATTTTCCTGTTTCATAATGTGAACAGTGATCGTGGTTAATATACCAGCCCGTTCTCATCCTTTAACGTCATATAGAACGCTATATGACAAAACGGCGCTATCCTACGCACATGGCACCCTTTATCGTTAATATAACACGCGAACCCAAGACGTTATAAATCCTTTAGCGTGAATATGACACGCACACCCTACCCCACACCTAAACTTAGCCCTCACAGCACGTGTTATATTAACGATAACGGGTGCCATGTGCGTAGTATAGCGCCGTTTTGTCATATAGCGTTCTATATGACGTTAAAGGATGAGAATGCGTTGAATATACACACCGAATAAAATCAAAACTTCATTAACAGACCCTAAAATCCTGCTAGAATCCTCAAGAAATCCTCTTTTACCATGTTCTTGTCTACATGAGGAATATCCAATGGCTAGTAGGGCTAGAAGTTTTAACTTGAACTTTAACTTTATTATTATTAACCATACTTAACTAATAACTTTGCAACTACATGTCAACTAACTATCATTGATTTGAAACTACATGTCAACACTCTCATTGGAATATTAGTAGACTTAAGTTAGGGTTAGTAAAATAAGTTGAAAAATATTTGAAAAGTTACTTATTCTCAGTAAATTTTCTGTTGGAAGACCATCGGAATAAAGTGTTAGCAGATATTAAGAAGACAGTCTATTATTAATACTCGAATGATATGTAGCTGAAAAGTTAGTTAGTAGAATGTCTAAAGTAGACTGTTGAAATAAAGTGTTACCTACTATTTTTGTACACTTTTCTAAACATGACAGGAGATAGAATACACAATCTTCTCTTCGTAAAGAAGTAGTTCACTTAAAAATGAAAATTCTGTTTTCATTTACTCACCCCCAAGTTGTTTCAATCCTGTATGAATTTCTTTCTTCTGCCGAACACAAAGGAATACATTTTGAAGAATGTTGGTAACCAAGCATTTGATGGACCCTGTATTATTTCTATTCCTACTTTGGAAGTCAATGGGGTCCATCAACTGTCTGGTTACCGACATTCTTCAAAATGTATTCCTTTGTGTTCGGCAGAAGAAAGAAATTCATACAGGATTGAAACAACTTGAGGGTGAGTAAATGATGACAGCATTTTCATTTTGAAGCTGTAAATGAATATTTCAAAATTCAGAACAAAACACTGAGCACTTGATACAAATCATCTTGTTTTCAAATCATACACTCTTTTATGACATTCAAGCTGAAAATCAGTTTCAGATCTTTTCTCATTGAGCAAAACTAAACCAGACACCACTCTTCCTCCCTAATTCCCTGTCCATTTTCTGCTCTGCATATTTTAATCCATATCTCTCTATCTTTCTCTCTTGTTTGATTCTCAGCCCTGCAGACAAAAAAATGCCTTTAAAACAGATGAAGCACTTATCAGGACCCTTCAACATCTTCAGTTCATTCTTTGAGTCTGTGAGGTATGAAAACGGGATCTTTCCTGACATCAACCACTCACAGTCTCCACCAGTGCCTCCCAACTAGACCGCCAGTGGACAAATTAGACATCACTGCAAAACAAGCAACTAGCATTCTTCAAAAACAGCTGTCAGATGCACAAAGAACGGGAAACAACAATTAACTGTCTGTCATATAGAACACATTATATAGTCTACATTTAACACGGTGATCCTGCTAAAATACGTTCCTTTCATGTCATATAAAAATGACAGAGAAATATTCTGTCTGAGGGAGTTGAGAACAGAATTAGTGAACAATTTCTGTTTTAATACCGTAAAGAAATAAAACAGGCAAGGTGGCAGAGTTTTTAAGTGTGCACATCATGTACCAGGCTGACTTAAAAGCCTATTGCGCAGCAATAAGCATGAATTTCGTTCATGTTCCTTGTTTTGTTTTGTTTTTTTTTTTGACATTGTGACTTGAAGAGTAATGGATGTAATTGCGAGAGAAACCAAAAAGCAAATTGCGTACCATGTTGGGGAAAAAAAATCATAGGACTATCTATTTAACACGCATCTGAGAGGAAGAGAGTGAAATGTTCTCTTGTGAGTGTCTACCAAAGATTTGAAGACTGCTCATGTTCCAAATAACAGCAAAAAATTCAGACATTTGATTGAGCAACAGGTAATCAGAGTAAAATAGCCAAGAAAAAGTTGTGGATTACACTTACCAATAACACTTGCATTTTTCCTCCTGATCAGAGGATGAACAGTCAGCAACACACACCAAGACACCATCCTCCTATTTTTACAGGGAAAAAGTAGTGTCAGGGAAGAATAATTTTAAAAGTGACATTTTCTTTCATTTTGAGAAATCAATATATTTAAATTAATCATAAGTGATAGTAAATATATTTTTATTTTGATATCAAATAAATGCTGTTTTTTTTTTCATCAAAGAATCCTGAAAAAAAATCATTACGGTTTCCACAAAAATAAATAAGTAGTAAAACTGTTTTCGGGAAATGTTTCTTAAGCACCAAATCCGTACATTAGAATGATTTCTGAAGGATCATGTGACACTGAAGACTGGAGTAATGATGCTGAAAATTCAGCTTTGCCATCACAGGAATAAATTACAATTTAAAATATATCAAAATAGAAAACAGGCCCTTTAAAAAGTACCTTTAAATTGTAATAATTTTTCACAATATTACTGTATTTTTTAAATAATTTTATTCAAATAAATGCAGCCTTGGTGAACACAAGAGTCCTCCTACTGCCAACTTTTGAAAGGTAGTGCACATTTATTTTTCAAAAGAAAACTAAAATGTGCTACATTTGAAAACATAACTGAGGTATGATAATACAGCACTGGAATGAATGAAACCAAAATATGGCGTGTGGCCTGAATTGGAACATCCACAGCCCAGTAATGTTCTTTACCTGAGGGGAATCACACTTAAGTTTCTAGCACAAAACACTGAATTTTCACACCACAGAGCTGAAGAAAAAATGAATATCCATTTATTTCAAAAATAGCACAGCATAACTCTAAAGAATACAAGAGATGAAGACAAAAGAAGAGAGAGAGATAAAAAACGAGGCCATAGGATTAAAAGCTAATAGCCAGAGGTGCTTGTCCTGTCTGATTTGCTCTTAGTACAAAATGTTTTCACACAGTAAAACCACCCCATCACCACAGGTGTTGGCACAATGCTGTGATTGCCCTTGACAAGAGAAAACAGCGGAAAGGCTCCAAAACCAGGAAACTTTGAAAGACAAGGTCACAACTTTGCTTGACATCTAAGGTAAAACTTCTTGGATTAATAATCATAGAAATAAAAGCCAAAAAAAAAAAAAAACAGTTTATTCTGCATCCTTGAGACATCACCTTCACCTAAAGAGAATAATAGCTCTTTTGTGTTTTGTGTTTATATTTCTTGGACAATGGTGAAGATTTAAATGAGAATTGCTGCGAGGGAATCTACTGGTTTAGATCCAAAGCTCAAATAACAAACGTGTGGAACGACACTTGATTTAGAGAGAGTTTGTGCGATCAAGAAACAGACAAACAAAAAAATGGCACAAAACGTTTTCTAAGCAAGTGATGTAACTTACTATAATTCTGTCTAGCAGGAAGTGCATCCAGAGTTTGTGCCAAAATATCTTTTGTTTAATGTTGCGGCCAGCTCCAAACTATGAACTCCTGCTTTGGACTCGTGCTGTCTCTCCATACAAACTGTTATCCTCACATCATATCTTGTTTGCATCACTTGTTCTTCATGATGTATATTTCATTTGTGCAGTCAGTCTTTGCTGTAATGCTCTCCATCCTTTGCTCTTGCTTACTTTGCAGCTTCACTGCTATGTAAGCAATCTCAAACGCACACTGTGCCCACAGCAGCAGGTCTCCAACTGTCACATCTCTTGCTCCACAGTCGTTCACACTCTCTATTCGTCATCCTGCGAAGGTCTTAAGCCTGACAGTTGCAGGAAACACCATGTCGCACAAAAAAAAAATAGGGAGTCATCACTTTTAAATCCAGCAAAAAAGAGCATCAGTAAAAATGTATTTGCTGGAGATCTGACATGCACTTGCACAGATGGATGCTCAATTATAATCTTTGAGATGATATATAAAATCTGCTGATGGACTCGAGCGAGAGTGGCACATGTGGTACAGTAAAGGCCATTGCACACTGAGTACGAAATTTTCATATGCGTTTTTTCGTGTTCGTCAGACACCAATGTTCCTGTCATTTGCCATGGTTCTTGGGACACAGGGTCCTGACATGTTGAGCTGTGCGCTCATGTTGGGGATGCAGGTTGCGATCAATAGTCTACTTTTACAGTAATTTAATTGGACCATTTGATTTCCACTTAAAAAAAAAAAAAAATATATATATATATATATATATATATATATATATATATTACAGTGAAGCACTTATGAAAGTGAATGAGGCCAATCTGTAAAAGTTGAAATACTCATTGTTTCAGTATCCCAGCAAACGTTCCTGGAACTTTCCCTTAAGGCTAGGGGAACGTTCTCCTT